CAGCACTTTGGAAGCTATGGCCCCCCTCCTTCATTCTGACCTTGCAATTGCATAGCCACAGGTTTTACAGATGTCTCGACGCTGGAGGCAAAGATTCTGGAGTAACATACTGTATAGTATAGAGGGTAGAACGGCACCTCTGAAATAGAAGTAGTAAGTAGTCCTCCAAATTCTGTTCATTTGCAGGTCACGCCGGTTCCGGTGCGATGAGTGAACAAGGTTCAAACAGCTCAACCCAGAAGCTGAATGTGAATGACTTGAATATCAAACTTAGGCAGACCTATTCTGTTCCATGTTAGTGTGATCATGGAGTGGTTGATTGGGGTGGTACGCGAAGCTATGGATCAAGTCAAGTCAGCCCCAACTGAACAACATTGGTTGTTTCTCTGATTTTGTGTGAAGAATCCTGGACTGCAATCAAAGTAACAAAACTCCCCACAAAAACTGGATCGCTCTTAAGACTCCCCAAAGAATCCGGAAATCGAATTAAGTGTCTCAAACTGACTCAGACCCAAGAATTAATTCCAAAACATTCTTAAATGCAAAACCAGATTCTGTTGTGATTAGTTGAGATTCTGGGACCCAAAACAGCGCCACCCCCAAACAGCGCCATTTTGCCGAGGAGCCAGCGGCCAAAGGACGTCGCAGGCCGGGAACAACGGGTTTCTCAAGCAAAGCGCAGGCTTCAGAAACTGGTACGTAGGTCCCTGTCCTAAGGCATATCAACATCAAAATGGCATGTCTTGCGCCTCGTGAGCCTACGAAGAGTAGCATTTCCACCTACTGTAGTGGCGATTCACCCACCAGGTTCCGTTAACCCAGGCTCAGCGTTTGCTGTTGTTAAAGTCTTTGGACCCTTTGGTTTCTTGGTGTTTTTGTTTTTCGATTTGAATACATTGGTCTTGGCTCGGTTTGCCTCAATGTTCTGCACTGGAACACATCGTAATACAATTTACAAACCTTTAATATCATTTCCTCGGTTGTTTGAATGCCTTCATTTTTGATGTTGATTAAGGCCAAACAAGTCATGGCTCTCTCCATAGCTTCATAGTTCGCCAGCCACGTCCTTAGCTCAGCAAGGTGGCCGATGTTGATGGCCGCGAGTGGGCTGGGCGCATTTGCAGTGCCAGGAGCTCGGATTCGGGGCTGCAGAAGAATCCTGAGAGTGGAGTTTTTTGGCATCTTCAGTCATGCAGATCTTAATGGTGTAGTGCAGATCTTGCTTGTAAAGATGGTCGTTGCTATGATATGATGGTGAATTATATAACTTAAATGCTGGGTTGCAAAAGTTGGGTTTTGGTATCTCGTTTTTTGCACGCTTGCAACCTCGCCATCCACGCCATCCGGTGCTTGCTCGGGGTGCTGCGGCAGGTATTTCCTTTACCAGCAGCAGCAAGCTCGGGCTGTGTGCCAGAAGCAGGCCCAGACTAAGCGCGTAAAAGTGCGTGGGACTTGGACTAAACCTTTAAATAACCTGGTTTATTTTCTTCAGATATGTTTACAGATGTTTAAAGGTTTTACTCCCCCCTTGTTTGTTTGAGGTTTCCAACAATGGTTCGCCTGCTTTGGCAGGTCACTTGGGTCTCGTGTGTCCAATCATGGAATTGTTGGATGGGTTTCCATCCAGCTAACACAAGGAATTATATAGATTCTCAGATATTCTCAGGGGTTGAGGACAATGTCTAAAAGATGTTGATGATGCTAAAGGATTAAATATGCATATCCAGCTTCACCAAACATCAAGAGAGTTACAGAGTCGCATGTGTTATTTTGTACGCATTGGTCAATGGAACTTTGTTCTCAAGGCTACATGGCTCCAATACATATATTGTTTCTCTTATATAAATAAGTGATCATGAAATATAATGAGTGTCCTTATGCTTGTTCCACACCACATCGAATGGAATCAATGCATGTGGTGCCGTCCAGGATACGGCTGAGAAACTATCAGCCGCTCTACCACCTCTGCCAGAAGGCGGTGGGTTGTGCTGACATGCGATGTGGGTGGTTGCCGCTACTTGGGACGCCATGAAATGACGTGCCGCAGGCCGTGAGAGATGCCCCTCAAGGATGCTGAAAAGCACTCACTTGAAACAGTCCAGGAAAGCCACAAGGAACCCACAAGGTGCTGGTACGTCTGGATCAAATGGTTTTGAGGTGAACACATTCCCAGACTTCCCAGAGGTTCGTCGACATGGAACGAGAATGATCTTCGAATAGGTTTGTCCTGGATCCTTTGGATATAAAGAAGGAAGTGCCATTCATCCGTCTTGGATATCAATGATAATTGAATCTATGTGATAAACGTTGACATTTTACATGTGATGGTATGTTTTAGAACAATCCTTTGGATAAGAAGTAGCTAGCAATGTCTTTCCCTTCTTCCTCCCAGGCTGGCGAGAGCACTTGGATCCTGCTTCCGGGCGCCCCTACTACTGGCGGGAGGCCCATCCCACGCTCACAACCTCCGGTTCGGTGCCACTGGGGTTGTGGATCGAAGCCGGGGGACCCCCCACTGACAACCACTGAAACATGAACTGAAAAAACTGCTGAGGAGGTCAACCCAGTGAGGGTTTTGGGCTCCAAGTTTTGATGCATACCCCCCTGATCAGCACAATCATGGCAGAGGTTTGACCCTCGGGATGAAAGCGGATTCACATCGACCGTTCGTTGGAGGACGACGTCCTCCGGTCACGTCGCTGTGGGAAGAACTAACGACAGCTGAGAGACCATCCCGGTGACATGTTTAGTTTACAAACCCTGCGGCTCCAAGAACCCCCTAACCCAAGGCATTTATTGGACCTTCCAAACCCACCCCAAACACATTCCTAGAAGATCTAGCAGATACTTGGAGCCCTAGGGAAAGACTACACTCCGAGAAATCATCATGGCTACGTGGAGTGAAGACCACTTGTTTGGTATTGGGCAAAATGGTCATGCTTTCGGGGCCATGTACGTGCTTTGTTTATGTGTTATGTCACTGGGTGTTTATGTCGTTAGACCTTCTGGCCGCCCGACCTTCCTCGTCCCAGGCAGATCCCAAGAACTCAGTGACCTGGGAGCGCCCGGCCGCGGCGAAGTAGTTCGCCACGGTGGGACGCGGCCGTGGAACCGCATGGGGGTGGAGGTTCTGAACGCACGTTTCGATTGGCCTGAAGCTGAGCTGCTGTCAAGTGTGGGATGGATACAAGGAAGCCCACAGTTTTTTCGGGTGAAGACAATGGTTTGCAGTAGATGTTCCCTTATATAAACCAATGCTGGGAATGGAGGCCACAACGCTGGCTCTGTAGGGCGTCCCAGGGTTTGTTTTTGCATAATTTTTGGTAATTTTTGGGATACTTCATCCCAAATGGATAGGTCAGTAAGAAAACTGTACCTATAGAAAGGGGATTACTGTCTATAGACAGGTGATCCCACAGAAGAAGATGTACCGTTTCAATCTGTTGGGACATCTCTTGACATCTTTGGTCTATAGCAGTACTTTCTTATATACTGGTTGGTTTCTGTCAAAAGCAAAACATGCATGGTAGTTGCAGATCAGTCTGTTACTCTTGAGGGATGTATTTGCTTCTCCTTGGATTGTAAAGTGACTGGAAGAAACGACACATCATTAGACAGAACACCATTATCCAAGGCCGTTTCTATCAAGAATTTGCCAAATGTTGGGTTTACTGTAGTTTACTTGTTGCTTGTAAATAAAGGCCGCGGTTTTGAGACAGGCACGCTTGAACTCACAGGCACCCTTCACCTTCCGCTCCTGCAATGCCCCGCAACGCTCAGGCGTAGCTGCGAGCCAAGCGCGAGCCGCGCCGCGAGCGCACCATGGAGATGAGTGAGGCGCGGTGAGTTTGACTTCACCAAGAATGGCCTAGAAGCACAATTGATTTGCTGAAACAAGTTTTTTGTGCAACAGTTTCCCTACCGCAGCTTGTACACTCCTGTAATCACGAAAACATGTTCACCAACTGGCTGGTCTTCGTGGTCATCCTGTTTCCAACTGGCTGGTTAAGTGACAAACTGGGATAGTCGAACAGTCGGGTTCTTCCACCTCTGTTGGTTGGTCGAACATATCGATCCAAGCCACGCCCCCGAGACGTGGATCACGGGGTTGGTCAGTCGAACCATCACTTGGAGAGATGGCCTGCCACCAGGTCTCATATGCCACTGGGCCCAGGGAATATAAGATGTACCCCAGTGATGTACCACTGAAGCACGAGCAGTCAGAGCATTTCAAAGGAAACCTCCACGAAATGTATAGCTGGCCGACCGTTTCGCGCGCGTTCGCGCGCATTCGGTCCTGAGAACAGGTCGAGCAGGTCGAGCCAGAGCAGATGAGCAGCTGAGAGGTTGAGAAAAGGTACAGCTCCGGAGTGCGGTCCAGATGGATGCGTTTACCGGATGCGCAGATGCAGACTGCACGCACGCCAGTGTAGGTAGCAAACCGTAGCTGGAGAGGTGAAGAGATGCGAAGAGATCCTGAGGATCCCCATGAAAGAAATGACTTATTAAATGACTCAACGATTGCATGGTGGATAAACAAAGAATTCTACAGCCTGGGAAGCTTGCACTTGCAAGACAAGCACACCAACAGCGCCCGACATCTGCGGTCGGATCACCATCCACCGACAGAGCTCCCCCGTGAAGATACCAAGCACTCTTTCCATTGTGAATTAGTCAAGGGGCTCGCTCGAATCCCTTCCCATCCGATCTAGCTCATTAAGAGGGTTGGGGAACCCAGCAAAGGATCACCAGGTGGGATTGCTTCGAAATTGCTTGAACCCAGACGCTCCATGTATATAGACTTCACACACTTTGGGGTGGTTCAAAAGGGGTGACATGTACCTGCCTATGATGCCAGTCCCATTAATTCGTCGTGTTTGGCCAAAAAATAAGTGGCTCATCCACCAGATCCCCCTATCCGTGACCCGAACTAGTTCGATGCCCCCCCTAGATCCACCACCGAAAACGTGGACCCGACTCGGCGCTCGGAACCTGTCCAGGGCTCCTTGGCCTTGGAAGACTCCATAGGCGCCAAAGCGAAGCGGAGCGGAGAAGCACACGGTGGTTCCGCCGGAAGGGAAGCGAACGGGGAAGTGCCGGCAACCGGAAGCGCCAGCGCCTTTTCAGAGCGAGGGTGATGATTGTTTTAGCAACGTGCAGCAGTGGTTCTAGCTCATAATTTTGGTGATGAAGATGTTCCATTGAACTTGCAGCCGCACCGCCTGTGGCAAGACGGGCTTGTCAGTTGCTAGACTGAGCTGAAACGGAAAGCTCATTGCTGAAATGTGTGTTTTGGTTCCTCAGAGAAAGGGACTGAGGCCTACATGAACTTTTGAAATCACCCCAAATGAAGAGAACAACAGTCCCAGTGGAGTCTGTGGGTATTGGACGGCATTGTGTGTGGCTGGTAGAGGGAGGTTTTCCACTTTCTGACCCACCTGGCATCTCCACTGAATCTAGACATGTCAACTTTCTCAGCACCTTTAGATCAGCTGAAACATCCAGATCTGTTGCCCTACCCAGTCAGTGGAGGACCCGGTCACCTTCGGTGATTGGATTGATCCCACCAAATCACCAGAAGCACGTGGAATCTTTGGACCACGACGCTGGTCTTTTCCACCGAAAAGGGCTCGGAAGGTCCGTCTCTGTGCAACCAGGTAACCACCTGTCACGGTGTTTCCCTTCCAACCTGTCACGGTTCAGCTCCGCATGTCACGCCACGCCCAGACTCCTCCAAGACCTTCCCCAGCACCTTATTCTCGGATGGCCCTGTCATGAAGATCGAGGACTACTACCGATGGGGGGTGCACGGATCACTGGTGATCACATGTGCGAGGACGGGTTTGTCTCAACATTACCTGTAACAGTCGGTAAACAAGAACATCACGATTTTAGAGAAAGGCCTGCAATAGGACCATCATCATCATCATCATCATCATCATCATCATCATCATCATCCACGAATAGGCCCTGGTCATAGAATAGATAGACCCAATGCACTATAATGTTAGATCCTGATTAGTAAAGGGGGGTCTCCCCCTCAAACAAATGGAGGGTCCTCTACAATAAACTACCACCAAAACGAATCTGGGTAATTGATTATAGGATTAATTTTCCCTTCTGAAGTTCTTTGTCATTAGGTATTCTTTTGAAGAAGAACTTGAGAAACCTATACTTATTAAAATCTTATCAATACTCTGAGCAAGCCAACCATTGGCTTAGTAGTATTAAGAATTACCTGTTCATTTTTCTTCAGGAAAACACTTTGCACAGTTGAGAACCCTTAAAACAAATTTATGGAGGATCACGGGCTTCCTGGTCTACTACCTTGAAAATTTGTTTAGGAGCAATCTTTACATAAAGGATTGATTAGGGAATTGATGGCTTTGGGAAGCTGTGAGATTTGAAGAAGAACTATAGAAACCTCTACTTATCAATACTCTCAGCAAGCCAACCATTGGCTTATAAGTAGTATGTACTATGTCTATTTTTTCTAACGGAAATATACTTAACCCATCTTAACCCTAATTTCTTTTAGGTAATAAAAGATAGGATCCCACCAAAAAGTAGCATAATAGAGGACCCGTGAAACAAACAGGGTGTCAAGAATTATTTTTCAACAAATTAGCATTGTAGAGGGCCCTATTACTAATCAGCGTCCAACATTGAGCAGTGCAGCAGTGCCTATGTGTTACACTGCTTTTTTATGAGGAGCATCTAGGACACATGATGTCCTGTAGTCAGACCGACCTGGTCGACCGACCTGGGGCCGAGAAGACTCTCTTGGGGGTGCAGCTGAAAAACCTTGGGTCATTGCTACACTGCGGCTTACACGGCTTGGCGCTGGTGACAATGCTTGGCGGGACCTCAGTGAGCTGGCGCGTCACTGGCCGCGTTCCCACAGCCGCTGTCATCAGCAACCATACCCAGCAGAGTCTGGTGCAGCCACGTGGTGAGCTCAGAAAGGGGCAGATGTTACCATGGCACTGTACAAGACATTTACTGCAAGCTTTGGCCACCCATTCCAGAATCTGAGCTGTTGGGAAGTTGTGTGGCTCACCCATCTGGCAAGTACGAGGACGGTACTCCATGGATGTGGCTATATTCTTAACACAGCAGTGATTTCTTCTCCTGTGACAGGCGAAAGACGCCTGCAATGCCGAAATTTGCGCTAGCGAACTCGCTTTGGGTCGGCCGGTCCCCATTGGCTTTCAAAAGTTAAATCAAACCTCTTTAGCCTATGATATTCCTGCTTATCATCTCTCGGCAGAGCTGATATTCGGAAGATTGTAGCTGAGCGACACAAACCTGGACCTGTGCGTGAAAAGCAGAAAGGCATCCGCCATCCGCGGGCAGACTATCGCTTTTGCATGAACTGCACACTGCACATCTAGAGGATGCGGCAAGATTCATGTCGGAAACCCTTAGCATTGCATTGGTCGGCTGGGACCGAGAGGCAAGCAGGGTGGCGCTGGCGGTTGGGTCCGGCGGGCTGGTGTTGAGGTCGGCTGGTGCTCGCGGTTGACGTCCCATGGGCAACAGTGCCAGCCGGAGCTCGCGGTTGAGGTCCGGCGGGCATCCGGAGCTGGCGGTTGAGGTCCGGCGGGGAACATTGCCATCCGGAGCTGGCGGTTGAGGTCCGGTGGGGAACGCTGCTGCCATCGGCGGTTGAGGTCCCGAGGAGGTGGCAGAGGAGAAGGAGGAGGACGAGGACGGCAGCTGACATAGAAACTAAGGACCCTCACCTGACAGTGGGGGAAAGCGACTCATTCCAACCAGTGTGCGCGACGGACGTCCGGTATCGTGCGGTTCACGTCCTGGTTGTATTGGGCGGGCGTCCCAAAATTAGACGCTGAAGAAAGTAGAAGAGAGATGAAATGTCAGAAATGCGACCTTTTTTTGCGTCAGGATCTTAAAAATGAACGATGTATACTGTATACCTTGAGTCTCCAATGACCCTTTTAATTTTGCCTTTCCAAGAAAAAGATGTTTTTGAAAGAAAACATTTTTTGGCATATGTCACGGAATGTTCCTTTTTTGTTTGTGCCCTGTCAGATCCTCCTTAGACAGTATCCTGAGACCTTTTTTCGGCGTCCAAAATGCGTCTTTTTGCGTCCAAACGGCGTCTTTAAGCGTCCGCACCGGACGCGTCCGGATGAAGATTCACATTGTACCTTTTTTTGAGTCCTCATCTCTGAAAACGCATTTTTCGGGCAAAAACGCAAAAATATTAGATCCAAAACAAAAACGCAGAAAAAAAGGCTTTGGAGACTCAGGGTATATATAGTATGTTTTTTATTGATACTATAGTACTATCATTTTGCAACCTTACTGCCCAGTGGGTCAATGCAGAACCTGAATCTATATCTTACATCTCTATTTGTATCTTCGATGCCATTGTGAATTGCTTCTTGCCGGGCGATGTGCTGACAGGACTCAGAAGATCCCTGGCCACCCAAGGCGTGGAAGGGTCGACACACCTCGCCGCTGGAAAATCACGCACATGTCGACCAGGGCACCTCATATATATATATATTTATATATATATCCCATACATTCAGGTATCCTAGCACTTCCTGTTTGGGTGCCCTGTCTGGAGACCTATTTACGCAGGGCAGTCTGGCGGCCAGGACACCCAGACAGGATGATCCTGGTATGTATATATATATATTATATTCACATACATTGGGTTGGTTGAGCAGATGGGAAGGGACCTCTGGATTTGGTCAGACAAAACATTATTCGATTTCGGGTTGCCAGAACCAGGGTTTTGTTTGCGAATCCACCTTACAAGTCCAACCACACTTCGATGTTTGGGATCGACCCTCAAAACCCCTATGTGTTGTTTCGGACCCGGATTCTTAGCGTAAGGTTGAACATCCCACAAGACCAAAATTCAAAAGCACCCAGTGAGCTGACCATGTTGTTTTTGTTCATGAATTTTGTTCGGTTTTTTTCGCCCCATTTGGTCGGATTTCGTTGGTCCAAGAAGGGACCGAAGACGTTTTTGTTTCCATCCAACCACCGCGTCCGGCGCCGGGGCCGAACATGGACCAGGTTCCTGAGAAAGGTGTTTTTTTTGGTGTGTTTTTCTCCATGTGTTTCCCTATATAAGTACTTAGGTTGGTATAATTAGTAAAATCTTTAGTTAACTCAGGTTACTGTATTATAAGGTATTCTAGGTTTGTAAATACTTATATAGTGTAAAAATTCTTAGTTAAAACCATGTTCAAAAAAGGACGTTAAATCGATGGTGGGAGACCGGAACCCTGTGTTTTTTTGTTCGGCGCCGGGCCGTCGTCTACCACCTCCGTGAGAACTACGTACACACCGGCACGCATCTGACCTCATGACAGGGGTTCTATTACTATGATAGATTTGGTTTCCTCAGATTGGTCCAAGAGGCCTTGTTCCCTTCCGAGGTGTCCCAGCTGGGTACCCAGGAACATCCGAGACATCAGGCGGCCGTCTCGACCGCCGAACTGAGCGAGGTTGATGGATGTTTGGGGGCTGGGGTGGGCATGGTTGCATGGTTGAACTGGTGAGTTCGATGCAACCCAGCTTCAAAGACACATGTGTTTAACCCCTACAAGACTCGAGCCTCCTGGCACCCACCCCAGTCCCACCTTCTTAGAAGCCTTAGAAGATACTTGGAGCCGTATAGGGCATGACATTTGATGACATTGGGAAGATTCCGGTGGGTGAGGGTGATGTTCAATCTTCGATCCTTTCTTCGCCCTTCTTGCTTCGGACGACTGGGGGACCAGCATCCGGCACAGCGCAGCATCCGGGACCTCGTCCAGCGACCTGGTGGGTCGTACCTTCTGAAAAAGATGATGTGTTGGACATCGAACATATCACCAACACATCGGTTGGATCCGTATAGGGAATCGGGTCGCACCGAAGATACACCGCTTGGTATGTGACCTGAAAAAGATACACCTCATCAACTACGATCAACTGCTTGGATCTCGAGTCCATCCGTCGGATGCTTCCAGGAGTCACAGATAAGGATCGATATTTTTTTTAGTTTCGATCCACGTAGTGAGTGGATGTGACAGGGGCACCCCCGACTTCCTGAATGGATAGCACCCCACTCCATGGAACTGCTGGTTGAAAGAATTGGTGGCCGGGTCATCTAGATTTGGGCTGTCCAATGGAGTCTCAGATATATGTCTTAGTGGGCTGTATGGTGGTATGGTAGGGTAGGGTAGTCCAGTTCCTGTTCCACCCTCCCCCAACCGGTCCCTGGCATGAAGCCGACACCAGCCAGCGCTGGCCCGCGCATGGATGCGCAGCCAACCGGTCCTGCTTATGTGATTTGTCTGTGGTTTGGAAGAACCTAGAGAGGTTAAGTGACCTTGTAAGACCCTGGTGGGGTACCTATGGGATAGTCTACAGTATAGGATTCTTCAATCTCTGTTGGAATGCACGACGAGTTTTCCATGTGTTTTTCATTGTTTTTCCATCATTTTCGATCAACCATCGTCACCCATGCATCGGGGAGCCCCTCCGTCACGGCCATTGTCCATGTTTGCAGCCATCTTTGGAGCTTCAAAAACCGTGCTGCCCACCATGGAAGCCTTTGCTCTGGCACGAGAGGCCCCTTTGCTACATCATAGCCTGCAACCCTCTTTTCTACCAGAAACAGTTCTGGATGGTTCCCCAATGTCAGACACTTCGTAGGTAGAGGATCTCAAATAGCGTTGATGGAACAACCATTCCCTTACAATCCATGAATGGCATATTCACCTAGATTGACCCCTCAAACCACACCAATTGACCGGTAAATATGTCATGCATGTGCATGGATGTTTTGGGGATTTGTTTCTGGGTGTTTGGGTTTCCAGGATGACGTCCTCACGCGCCAGGTACAAAACAGGCGGACAAAAAAAAAAAAAAACAACAACAACAGCAGCAACAGTGTTATGCAACAACAGTGTTATGATATGTTATGATGTGTTATGTATCATGGACCCAGAGTAGATGGCACAACCCTTTTATTGAAATATGTTCTTGCGGTTTGTGCCATCTACTTTGAACTCTCTGTAGATACCGTGCCCTTCCTTTTGGGCAGTTGTTGGATCTTTGTTTGGTTAGGGCATCCAGTTACCACTATAGCTGGAAACCAGTGGTTCCAAAGACAAAGAACAATAGACCCAGAAACTCACCCTGGTTCCTTCTATAGTGATTTGCCTGGGATCCGGGTTGGATTGAAACCCGTTTGGCAGCTGATGTTCTGCTCTGGTTCCCGAACTCGTACTGGGGTGCAAAAAGCATCGGTTTGGTGGGTTCTCGGGCCTTTTTGGGCTGTCCGACCAGTACCAATCTTTGGCGCCCTGCCCTGCCTGCCCTCCCTCTCTCCTTCCTTCCTTCCTTCCTTCCTTCCTCCCTCCCTCCGTCTCCCTCCCTCCCTCCCTCCCTCCCACCCTCCCTCC